CACCTTTTTATCTGAAATAATTGTAGCAAATTATTTACTTGAACTTCATTTTAAACACAAAATTGAATTAAATACTAGATCAATTAGCAAAAGTGATATCGATACTTATTAGGGTGATCAGGGTATAAATGAATTGAATAGGTTAGGAACGCCAAAAAAGATAACGCTAGTTTTTGTTACTCTGATCAATTCCTCTTAAACCCTATTTAGTTTGGTATTCGTCAGTTGATTTGTTTCTTTTTAATTCGCGTTTATTCGAACTGAATGTAGTCACAAAGTGAAAGTAGTGACTACTGACGAAGTAGTCCGACGAAGGCATAATTGAAGATCTTTAAAATTAGCGATTTGAAGTGGACCTGAATGGAACATCAGACTTGTTAACCAGATCTAGCCCAAGTGACTTTTTATTTTAAATTTCGAACGGTACACCTGTAGCACTCGTTTCAGCTGATTTCTTATGATCTTTAGTTAAATCCAACAGCCGAAAACTTTCCAACTCCGAGGCATCAGAGAGATAAGCACCAGGAATGGCCAAAATTGTCACTCTGGGGTAAAAGTGTATAGCACCAAGTAGTCAATATTTCTAAAATAACGCAGAAGTACATTATATTAAAGGCCAAACCACCTATTGCTTGATCACCAATAGATTCCTAACATGTTACATGTTGACCATGGTGGATCCTGTTATGGCTGACTATTGGATCCACTGACAGTTGATCTGGGAACGTGCTTTAATGTATATATATTCTGTCCATAAATCCTCTATCGGCCCTCGACTTTCCCCGAATCTGGGAACACCACCTTGATAGACATGCATTTCATTTCTCGGAATAGTAGGATCAATATAACTTTTAGTTAAGACGAAAACTCTGCGTTGAGCATTTCGAAAGATATCACTCTCTCGAAGATTACTTTAGACTACCATTAATCCGACCATCCCGGCCATCCATGGAGATGCTTCTGGGCCACTAACACAGACTGCAGCTCCAACTGCTGAGGAACTTCGTATTATACAATGATCAATAGTGGGTGAACATCTTTCGGTAATTTCGAGGCAGTAATGTTTATGATGAGGTACACATGAGGTTGTGTCAGGAGTAAATTTTAGAGTAACATAACCCAAATAAGCTCGACGGGATCCCTCTATAAAAGTAATAGTTGAGTCCGAGTTTTTTTTCTAGGATTACATTTTCTGCCACATTTCCCGGAGCTGTAACAATATAAACAAATTAACAACAATTAACAAAGAGAAACAAGAGAAACAAGATAAAAGGTAAATATGAAACATGGTAAATGAACATACCTGCTCCAATCATTGCAATAGAAGAATCAATGAAAAGTCCTTCAGGTTTGTATTTTCCCGAATGAATAAATATGAGCGGTGGATTAAAGTTGTCTTTGGTTGTTGAATCATCTTTTCTTAGGTTTGAGCTAACGGTGGAAGGAGAACGACTTGAATGTCCACTTGAGGTATTATTAAAATTTCCTGAGGTTAGAGATGTATCGACCTCATGTAGCCCTTCGGTTTCTTCACAATAATTGACTGCTTTTTCCACTGTGTCAAAGTAGACACATTTCTTCTCAATATCTTCTCAACATCTTAAGGAATTTCAGAGTCAGAGTCACTTTTTGTCACTTAAGTAACTTTTGCAAAAATGGGGTTCACTTATATAACTAACGGTTCAAACGTTATTGTTAGTTAAGGTCACTGAATAAGTGATTATTAACTTGAATCTTTTCAATATAATTTTATAAATTTGTTAACTGTATAATAATTTGGACGGTCAATTAGCCTAATAATCGGTTGGATTGTACCCGCACCGATTCACAGTTGAATTGGTTGATCATTAATACACTTATTATCATGGAAACACATGAAATGGATAACAAAAATGAAAGATAAAAGTGAAATGTAAAGAAGACAGAGAAGATAAGTTCCTCATTCCCTCTGTCTAATAAGAAGAGAGCAAGGGAGAATGGCAATTGAGGGAGTGAAATGATGATTTAGTTTATGGTAAGTCATGAATCAGTTGCAAGTAAAAAGTTAACTCATCAACAGTGACTCTTGATTATCATCACCTAATCTCAACATTTTTACCTGTTATTACCGTTCTTGTGCTTATTTCAATCATTACAGTGCTTTAATTATAATTATCTCATTTTAATTGTTTCAAAATAGTTCATCATTAAGCTAGATATTAAACCAAAAACTTGAAACTCAGCTTTAAAGCCAACTGTAAACCCAAAAGTGCAAAACCCAAACAATAATCATGCGTTTAACTGATCAGTAATAATTAACCAACATCGACAATCAACTAAACAAGAAAAGGTTACTAAGGAGAAACGTGAAAAAGCATAGGAAACCCAAAAAGCAAAACCTGTAAACCTGGAAAGTTACAAATGGATTTTCAATTTGATTTTAGGTTAAACGCGTTGAACGTTGGCAATAGCTTTAAGTGTCTTTATTTAATCAATTGAAGCAATGATAATAATAATCAACGGCAGTTATACTTTTAAGAGGACATCAATATAAGCATTAGCAAAGTCACCCTGATTATTGTTAATAATAACAACAACAGTTCAACATAAAAATTGAATTATCCAAACTATCTAAACAAGTCAAGGATTTATTATTATCATCACCATCATTAACGACCATTTTACAGAGAGATTCAAGCTAAATTATGTTAATCATCATAATCTAATCAACATTTATGGTCATATGCACCAATTTTGCCGTGCAAAAGTAAATTAAAAAGAGCGCCTTTCAAAGTCACTCAAAATTTTTCACCAACATTACCAACAGTTAACTTTGTTGTCATTGTTATCATCATTTTTATTAATCTACACTCATTTTTGACTGCCATTCAACTAAATTACATTTTGATTGTATGCATTTCCCTACCAACCGTTAATAAAAAATAGTAACCATCAAAATTGTTACCAATTTTCAGTGTGATGAGTCTCCTTGCTCGACAATTTTACTGTTACCATCATCATATCAATCAACAGTCACATCAATATTACATTCATTATATCAACGATTAATCTCATCATTAATATTTATATCAACAAGCAAATACCCAAACCTAAACCCAAAACACAAAATACCAAGCCAAACAACCTAAACCTGGGCCCTATCAATGTCAGCTTTTG